AATTTCAATTATTTCGCTATTCATATTTTGTACTCTAGTAAATATGTCGAATATACATATGCAGAAGGCAAATAACAGAGCAGCTATAATAAATTATGCATAGCAGGCAAAATAAATTAGTAGTTGCTATAATGAAACAGAATAGGAAGCAGTAAAAAAAATTATAATACAGATAGGAAGAATAAACAAAAATATTTATGAGGATTCGGTAAGGCTCATTTTTTTAAATGTTGATGACTATTAAATGAAAACATAAAATGTATAAAAAATAAAAAATGAGTAAATAAAAAGAACTGGATAAATATAATGAAGCTGAAACTCTAAAGACATATGTACATTGGATAAATTACGAGAAACAAAATTTAAATATCTGTTTTGATTTTAAATTCTTTTGGTTTAGATTCTTTCTCTTTCATTTGTGGGTGTTCCGTTTCTCGCGACTCATCCTGCATATACGTTTCGTTTATATGTATACCTTATGTCTGTCCCGACGATGAGGTTGAGCGTTGAATGGAAGACCAGATGGAGGTGGTGGTTGAGTGATCTCCATTAAAGCAGGTGGAATATAAATAGGGTAAGGTGGAATTGGTACACTTTTACCCCAACCTAACTTCATCTCATACTGCATTATATCACGACCTACGATACAATAAAAAGAAAATAAAGCAAATAAGAAACTCGTTCATTAACCATTAACTTTTACTTTAATAATAACGAAAACTTTAAATTTAAAACATGATCTTACCATTAAGATTTTTTAAAGCACGTTCCCCATCTTTACGGCTCATGAAGGCAACAAATCCACAGTTCCTTTGTCTAGCTTTTTCTTCATCGCTACGTGGCCACATAATCTTAATACTAGCCAGTGGTCCATACTTTCCAAATATTTCCATTAGCTGCTGCTCTGTAATCTAGTATATATAAGAGTAATATAAATTATTTTACTTAGTGTTTATTATGAATAACAATAATTCTAAATACTACGTCTGATATGACCATATTGAATATCTTGTTGTACCTTTACAATATAATTTTGTACATTAATAATAACTATTTTTAACAAACGTTGAATGAATTGCTACAAGTATTTTCATAATATAATTTTTAGTTATAAAACGTTATTGATAGAGTAAGGAAGTATACCTTTGGATTTAAATTGCCCAAATATAAGTTTGTGGTATTAGGATCTCCATTATCAAATGATCCATCTGTAAAAAACCGGTTTTTTTAATTTGTTATATGTGTTTAATATTACAAAAAGAAACATTGGGAAGGAATAAAAGGGTACCCTCATAAATCAGGGCTAGGAGTCGTGGATCATCAATAAGGTTATGCAAGTTGGCCTTTCGAGGATCAGGATATGAGGATATACCTATCAGAAGTTTTAAAAAGTTCAAATTGTTAACTTAAAAAAATAAATAGTTATATTAAAATGTATTTAAAAGTCTATTAAAGATGATTCAGATCAAAATTTTTCAGCATGTATCAATATAGTCCTTTAATTTAATTAAACTTTAGTATTGTATAATTTGCTATATAATTGGCATACTGCGAAAGAATACAAAGTCAGAAGAAAATTTTAATGAAAAGGAACATGTGGCAAGATGAGTCGACAACCATTTCTACAGTGAGCTATTCGGTAACATATTAATCACGTGGGAAATACTATACTGTTAAAATATGTTTTAAGAATATAAGAATTCAAATTCATTCTTGAATCAGAAATCAGTTACCTTCAACACATTTTAATGCTGCCATCATTGGATCCTCGGACTGAGCAGAAATGACAGTTTTCACCACTCCTTTATATTTATGTCTTTCTTCTCGTTCTTCTTGAATCATTTTTAATTCTTCTTTAAATAATTCAAGATTGCTCTTTTTCTTTTCACCTTCTTTTTTCTTTTTTCCCAATCTATCCAATTTTCGTTCATTCGATCCAAGTAATCTTGCATATTCTTGTGCTTGTTCAGCCGAAGATCGACTATCAACAAGTTCTGATAGTTTTGACTGAGGTTTATATAGCTTTCCTTTTTCTCTCGTATCTTCCTCTATTAAAGGGACATTAGTATAATAAGTTAAGAATAATTAAATCTTTATTTATCGATCAATTGTATAACTTTTAATTCTAATCATTCAAAAATATTATAAATATAATAAACTTACGTCGTTTACCAGCATCGTAGGTACCTGCCTTTACCCAAACTTTACTTGTTGTTTTACTAGGTGTTTCTTGAAACGTTGCTACAAATTCTTCAAATGCCTATACATATAAATCAAATATAATATTAACATTTAATTCCTTGAATATTATATCGAAGATATTACATACTTGAGCTGCAGCTTGTTCTTGTTCTTTTTTACGTTGTTCTTCTAATTCTTTTTTACTTAATGGTCTTTTACCCATTGTGCCAATAGAAAATGCTTTTAGCTTCTGTTCAGCAATTTGCTAAACATTTAAAGTGGTTATCATTTAAAATATTTTTCATCCGAGAGTACCGAAATATAATATAATAGTAATTGATGCAATTATACCTTCATAATAGCTTTGTCTGCCATCTGTAGATATATTAACCTAAAATAGTAAAGAGTAGTGTGTGAATAAAATTTGATCGAATAATAATGACTCAGCTGTAATCTTAGACGCAGCAATGGAATTTACTTTCGAAAGAAAATATCGTAAAATCGAATGATACTAAGCCATGTAATAAATATACAGATACTTTACTTTGTTTGCAAGAATTGAAAATCGTAAAAAACACAGTAATAATCATTTATTCATGTGATAGCCTTTTAACGACGTTTTCAAGAATTTGTGTAATCGGACATTATTATAAAACGCATGTTTCAATACTTCATAAAATATTTGTGTATTAACACATTTCACATTAAAGAACCAAATGATTACAAATAATGTAGGTACACCGCTGAACATATTACATATGTATGCACTTGCCCACCCCACTTTTACCACCCAAAAAACGATACGAAAATCAACATTCCCATCTATGACATGAAGTTCTATGTTGCGGACCAAAGTTACTAAAGACATTTTAACATTGATAAATGATTTTGACATTTTACACACGTACAACATTGCACCTTCTTTAAGTTAGTATTTTCATCCCTTTATGTAAACCACTGGATGAAGGCAAAACAAGATATTGCGTGGGAAGTATTGTAACAATTGAAAAATGCGGCAATATTTGAAACGTAACGTGATAGAAAATGACGTTTAACAAATAAAAATAATGTTATGAACTGAATAATCTTCGAAAAATCATTGTTATCGCGTCGCAGATGTGTGACAACATGTTTATACATAGTTAAGAATTCTTTGTGATTCATATGAGCACATATATTGTAGTTCTGACGCTATATCTTACCGTCTTAGCGTAGAACTTTTGTACACATGCGTATTGGACGTACGGATTTCTATATGTACAAAATATGTACAATATGTAACGTATTCTCAGATGGCGTGCAAATCTATTCAGCATAGAATTTTCCTATCTGCTTATATCTGATAATCGAAGTACATACTTTCAAAGAGCCCTCTATGAATGAAAACGACAGAAAATTAAATATGGCTGATGTTTTGTTTGTGTGTATTGACAATGTCGTGTTGCTTTGTTTAGTTAATTTCCCGGTGTAATAATACGTATTGCTCGTGGAAAATTCGAAAAAAATGAACGCCACGAGTCTATACGTATCGACGTGTCGGTTAGTTTTACAAGCAGACGCTGATGATCCAAATTCATGGACAGATCTATATAGGCTAGTTCCTTATTTGCGACAAAGCCTTAGTTGTACTGTGTGTTCAAATTTATTAATTGAACCTCATACGCCGACTGAAACTAATTGTCAACATCATGTGTGTCGTGGGTGTAGAGGTGGACGTAAAAAACTTAAACCTTCGTGTGGTTGGTGCAAGGACTATGACAAATATGTCGAAAATGTCCAATTACGAATATTGTTACAGTGTTATAAAAAACTGTGTGAATACTTGACAAACACAAACATTTATCGAAGTTTAATACTTTCAGTGTCTTCCAATAAAACAGGCAATAGTGCATCTACTATTGGTGTTACCAGTCTTATGGAACTTATACAAGAAGGTTCTGGCTTCAAAGATGAATTTAAAAGTACTGCTGGTTTGTCAAAATCTGCATATAGTATTTTACCATGTGTTTACACAAGTACAACATCGACCCAGACCCAAGGAAACACTATACAAAGTTCTGAAACAATATCACAAAGTATATCTGGTATAGTATATTGCTTTTTTAGCATTTTATTCACATAAAATGTAATATGTAAATAAGAAGTTACATGACCGTTTATAATACTTGAAAACATAGACATAATAATAAAGGAATGAATCTTTCTTATGATTATTTTTCTTATTTATTACCATTTAATGAAATGACATATATGTTTACTTCCTATATTTTAAA